ATTAGCGTGCTTCCTAGTGGTTCGACCCTTTACTTGCCACTAACGATATTATAAATGATTAATTTGGTTAGGGTAGTAGCTTAACAACCTATTTAACCCGCGATCAAATTTTGGCGCTATTGCCGGGGAAGCGGCTTTTTTAGCGTCTATTATTGCTTTTGTTAGAGTCATTTTGCTTTCTTTTCTTTTTGTTTTTGTTTTATCATCCTTGTAATTGCTAATTGTTTGCTTAGCTTTGGTGAATGCTTAGGAGGTCTTAAGGATCACCCTCACATCAAATTGACCACGAAATTGACCGAACCTTGAGACAAATCCGTAGGCTTTATCAAGACGAGGGAATAGGGTTTGGTGATATAGTTGATAGTGAGAGTGATACTTACTCTTCAAGTTCACTATGCGAATCAATGGCGGGAAAAGAGAATGATGTTTTGTTTCGTGAGTTCAGAAATCCGGAGGATTATGAGCTCATAGGAGGGATTTTGCTTCCCGTTACGAAAACCAAATTCTCAATCCATCCACAATATACTCGAATGGTCCAATCGGAGCAATTTTCCGGAAGTGCAAGTGAGGACCCTATTGAACATTTAGACCGATTCCTTGAATTGTGAGTAATGATGCAAACCAATGAAGTGAGTCAAGACTACATTCGTATGCACCTTTTCCGGCAATCTCTCACCGAACGAGCAAAGAAATCGCTAAAGCAAGTAAAGCCTAACACTCTCACAACATGGAGGGAGGTGGTAAAGGTGTTCTTAAAGCGCTTTATCTCCGAGGAGAAGACCGCCGAAATGAGAAGGAAAATTGCATCATTTGAGCATGATGTCAATGAAAGTCTTGGTGAAGCATGGGAGAGATTCAAGGAGTTGGTACAAGCATGTCCCCACCATGAGTACAATCAAGGGTTGCTCATGCGGTTTTTCTACGACGGATTGGAGCCCATGTCAAGAGCCAATTTGGATGCGGGGGCGGGTGGTCAATTAATCAAGATCCCTCAAAATCAAGTTGAAGCCACAATAGAAGAGGTAGCAAAGAATTACTCTTGGGGGGGCCGAAGAAGAAACACTCCAAAGATAGGTGGTATTTACGAATTGGAGAAAGTTGATCAATTACAACATCAAATTGATCAACTAACAAAAGGGCTTCTAAGTTGAACACGAGTGTGAATGCGAGTTCAAGTGGTGGAGCAAGCTCTTCTCAAGTTAACTCTTTCTCTTGTCAAAATTGTTGAGGAACTAACCATGATACATCCTATTGTGGAGGTTTAAGCCCCGAACATGTAGTGGCATACAACACAAGGCAAGAGGGATTTAGAGGAAGCGGCGGTGGAGTAGCTTGGAGACAACCACCACCCGGGTTTGTACCTCAACGTCAACAATGGAACCAACAAGCTCAACCTTTATATAACTCCAACCCTCAATATCAAAATCCACCTCCATCTCAACCCCAAAACCCAAGAGGAAGCTATCCAAGGAACAACCAATACAACAATCAATCCCAAGCACCTCAAATAAATCATCAAGAACAAGCACCTCAAGCGGAGCTAACTCAAACTCAACTCCTCCAAGCCATGCATGCGCAAAAGCAATCTTTTGGGCAACAAATGCAAGAGATAAGAGCTCACAACAATATGGTTGATTCACAAATAGCTCAATTGGCCGAGAGAACTCCTTTCAATTCACCATCCACTCTACCCGGACAACCACAACCTAACCCATCTCACAATCCGAAACCCGATACATGCAAGGCGATCACATTGAGGTCGGGAACTTCCTATGAAGGGCCAAAGGAAGGGGATAGTTAGGAAAAGAAGGGAGGAGAGGAGAGTGTGAATTAAAACAAGGGAGGTGAGAAAGAAAAGGGTGATGATATAGAAGGAGGTTCGGAGAAGAAGAAGCTTGACAATGAGAAGACAACTTCAATTCCTAGTGAGGCTAGGAATCTTGATGGACCGGTTCCTTTTCTCTGTCGGCTTGCGGAGAGGAAGTTGAATGACAAGTTCACAAAATTTCTTAGTGCCATGAAGAATTTGCATATCAACCTCCCTTTTCTTGAAGTTGTGACACAAATTCAATCTTACTCCAAGTTCCTCAAAGATATTATCACCAACAAGAGGAAGCTCAATGATGAGCTTATCACCCTTCCACATCAAGTGAGTTCTCTTGTCCAACATAAGATGCCCAAGAAGGAAAAATACCCGGGAAGTTTCACTTTGCCGGTGAAAATTGGGAACATGGAAGCTAGGGGCGCCTTAGCCGATCTTGGAGCAAATGTTAGTTTAATCCCTCTATCCATTGCTCAAAAACTCAACATAGAGATGATCCCTAAAAGGAAGATAATTCAATTGGCCGATCTATTGGTGAAATTACCTTGTGGAGAGCTTGAGGATGTTCCAATTCAAGTGGGACACATCTACGTGTCTTGTGACTTTGTAGTGATGGATATGGAGGAAGATGTTAACACTCCTTTGATTTTGGGACGTGAAGCTCTTAAAAATTTGGGGGCGGTCATTAATTGCAAGAACAACACCATCACATGTGAGGTGTCCGATGAAAAGATTGTCTTTGAGTTTTCTAAGCTGCTCAAGACCCCCATGGTTGAAAAATGTTATAGAGTTGATGTTGTGAATGAAGAGCAAGATCTCTTGGGGAGGGTCGTGATGAGGCCTCAAGATCCAATGATAGAAGCCCTTACATGCAAAGAAGAGTTCCACTCTCAAGAGGCTAAAGAATTTGTCATGGCAATGGAGGAATCCACAAAGGAGGAAGTTGAACAACAAGTTGAGATCGAGCATGAGTCCAAGGAGGAGAAATTGGAGGAGAGTTCTAAGCCTCCTCTCAAGGTAGAACTCAAGCCCCTTCCCCCTTCTTTGAAATATGCTTTTCTTGATAAGGAGAGAAAATACCCTATTATTGTCAATGCAACCCTAGATGGTCTTAATTTGGAAAAACTTCTTGATGTTTTAAGAAAATATAGGGATGAGATAGGGTATAGCATTGATGATATCAAAGTTATTAGCCCTTCTTTATGCATGCATCGTATTCATCTTGAAGATGATCATTCCACCTCCATTAAACCTCAAAGAAGGTTGAACCCCAACCTTCAAGAGGTTGTGAAGAAAGAAATTTTGAAACTACGTGAGGCGGGCATCATCTATGCTACCTCCGATAGAAAATGGGTTAGCCCGGTTCATGTAGTTCCAAAGAAGGGTGGAATGACCATAATCAAGGATGAAAAGGGAGAGGAAATCTCCACCCAGACGGTGACCGGGTGGAGAATGTGCATTGATTATAGGAGATTGAGCAAAAACACCAAGAAAGATCATTTTCCTCTAACCACGCTTTCTTTTGTTTCTTGGATGGGTATTCCGGATTTTTCCAAATCCCTATCCATCCAAGTGATCAAGAGAAAACTACTTTCACATGTCCATATGGGACATTTGCATACCGAAGAATGCCATTCGGATTATGCAATGCTCCCTCTACTTTTCAAAGATGCGTGACTTCCATTTTCTCTGAGATGCTTGAAAAAGAAATTGAAGTTTTCATGGATGATTTTAGTGTTGGGGGCTCGTCTTTTGACACTTGTCTTTTTAACCTTGAAAAAGTTTTGAAAAGGTGTCAAGAGACGAGTTTGGTTTTAAATTGGGAAAAGTGCCATTTTATGGTCAAGGAGGGCATTGTCCTCGGCTATAAGGTTTCAAAAAATGGCATTGAGGTTGATCCGGCCAAGGTTTCGGTGATTGAAAAGTTTCCCCCTCCTACTTCCATCACGGGGGTACGGGATTTTCTTGGGCATGCCGGTTTTTACCGGAGGTTTATTAAAGATTTTTCTTCAATCGCCAAACGTTTCACCGAATTACTCAAAAAAGAGGTTGTTTTAAACTTCAATGAGGCTTGCCTTGAGGCGTTTCGTAAGCTCAAGGAAGCTCTCATTTCTTCTCCCGTTGTGCAAGCTCCGGATTGGAGCTTTCCTTTTGAGCTAATGTGCGATGCTAGTGACTTTGCATTAGGTGTCGTTCTTGGTCAAAAGAAACAAGGAAAATCATGAGTCATCTACTACGCAAGTAGGACTTTAGATGCGGCTTAAAAGAATTACACAACAACGGATAAAGAGATGTTAGCGGTAGTGTTTGCATTCGATAAGTTTCGGTCCTATCTTATATGCTCAAAAGTTATTGTGTACACGGATCACATCGCGGTGCGGTATCTCATGACCAAGAATGAAGCAAAGCCTCGCTTGATCCGTTGGGTTCTCTCTCTCCAAGACTTTCACATGGAAATGAGGGACAAAAAGGGAGCGGAGAACTATGTACCGGATCATTTGTCTAGGCTACCATTTGAGAACAAGGAGGATGTATCGATTAATGATGAGATATGATTCAAGGCTCTCATGGCTTTGGTGTCAACTTCTACCCTTGGTACGTGGATATAGCCAACTATCTTGCGTGTGGAGTCGTTCCCCCGGAGTATTCTTCTCAATAAAAGAAGAAGTTTTTCAAGAAAGTGAGAAGGTACTTTTGGAATGACCCATACCTATTCAAGCAATGTGGAGATGGCCTTTATCGAAAGTGTATTCCAGATCATGAAATTCAAGGAGTTCTTGAGCATTGCCACTCACTACCATGTGGAGGACATGGTGGTGTTGACAAAACATTGGCAAAAATCTCTCAATCTTTATTGTGGTGGCCGACAATGCATAGAGACGCCCACCAATAATTCGTTGCGCAATGTGATGGATGTCAAAGGAGCAGAGGCATTACCAAGAGGGACAAAATGCCCCAACAAAGTGTTTTAGAAGTTGAACCCTTCGATGTTTGGGGGGTGGATTTTATGGGGCCTTTCTTTTCTTCTTGTGGGAATCTATATATCTGGTAGCGGTCAATTATGTGACGAAATGGATTGAAGCCATACCCTCACCTACCAATGATCACAAAGTTGTGCTTAAGCTTCTAAAGAAGATCATTTTTCCTAGGTTTGGAGTTCTGAGGGTGCTAATTAGTGATGGAGGCTCCTATTTCGCCAAAAAGCAATTTAAAGCTCTTCTCAAGAGGTATGGCGTTCATCACAAGGTTGTATTACCTTACTTCCCTCAAACTCAAGGACAAGTGGACGGAGGTCTCGAATTATGAAATCAAAAATCTTCTTGAAAGGATGGTGAACAAATCAAGGAAAGATTGGTCTCTCAAACTTGATGACACACTATGGGCTCTTAGGACAGCGTACAAGACTCCAATCGGCACGACCCCCTATAGGTTGGTCTATGGAAAGGCTTGTCACTTGCCGGTTGAGTTAGAATACAAGGCTTGGTCGGCCATCAAAGAGCTCCATATGGATTTATCGTTGGCCGGTGAGAAGAGATTGCTTAAGCTCAATGAGCTTGAAGAGCTTATAGATGATGCTTATGAGAGCTCAAGGTTATATAAGAAGAAGACCAAAAAGTGGCATGACCAACATATTCGAAACAAGAACTTTAAGGTTGGAGACAAGGTTTTGCTTTTCAACTCAAGGCTTCGTTTGTTTCCAGGTAAACTCAAATAAAAGTGGTCGGGTCCTTTTGTGGTATCAAAGACTACTCCTTATGGCTCCTTTGAGTTAGATGCGGATGGTAACAAGTTTATGGTTAATGGTCATCGTTTAAAGCATTACTTTTGCAAGGAAGAAGTTGGCATCATCGAATGTATAATGCTTGATCCTTTGGATCCAAAGCCTCCCACTTGAAGAATTTTTCTCATGGTCAAGCTAGTGACCTCATAAAGAAGCGCTTCTCCCGAGTTTCTAACTCCTTTCTATATTTTTTTAAAAAATATTCCGATTTCACTTTCTTATTTTTTTTTGAATTTGAATTTGAATTTGATTTTTTCCCCTTTTTGGTTGATAGGTGTTTGGATGATGAAGGAACAAGGATTTTCTATTTCGAAGATGTGAGGATAAATCGAATTTTACTATGTGCTTCCCTGTGCGCGACATCTGTGCGGGCGCGCAGTGTGAAGTGTGCGGGCGCGCAGGCACTGTCAGAACCCGCACAGATTTATTCACAAATTGGAGTTCAAGGCAAAAGGTTTGCGCGACCTAGTGCGCAACCTCTGTGCAGGCGCACAGGGAAGGTGTGCGGGCGCGCACTCACTGTCAGAACCCGCACAGATTTATTCAAAATTGGAGATTCGAGATCGAGAGTCTGCGCAACCTAGTGCGCGACTTCTGTGCGGGCGCGCAGCATGCTTGTGTGAGCGCGCAACATACCTGTGCGAGCGCGCAGAGCTGGGAAAATCGGGTTTTAACCCTTTCTTCCCCATTTCGTCCTCATAATTTCGAAACCTATATTTCTTGCTCTCTTCTCTCTCCTCACAAACTCAAACCTTAACCTTTAAATTTCACCCATTTCTCACAAATTCCATTGATTTTCCTTCAAATCCATCAAAAATTTTCACTCTACTCACAAATTCACCCACTTTCTCTCTCCAAAATACCCAAAAATCCTCCATTTTCATGGTTTGCAAGCTTAATTGAAGGTGGTGTTCCTGGAGGTTCTTAGTGGTGTTCAAGCTTCTACAAAGTGGTATAACTCTAAATTTTGCTATTTCATTACTTAATTTCACTTGTTTATGCAAAAATTTTAGTTATTGAGCATGAATTAGCTTGAGTGAATTGCATGCGATTTTGATTTTCTTTGTTAAGGATTTGTTGGTTATTAGTGTGAAATTTAGTGATTTTGGGGACATTGTTGTTAATATTATTGTTTTTGAAGCCATTTTCATGAAATTAAGTTGAGAAATTTGGTGTTTTTATTGATGATAATGCAACTACTTTCATGAGAATTGCTTACTATCATAATGTATCTTGATTGACTACTTTGTTATTGATTCTTGTTGTCTTCGGCGCTATATTTGTGTGGTTAGTTGTTAGTACTAACCCTTTTGCAGATTGTTAAGACTTGGGTTGTTATTGTTGTTTTCCAATTGTTGGTTGAGTTCGAAGGGAGTTCTCCTTTTGGTTGGGTTGTTTGTATTGCTTGAACATAATGAGCAAAGGAATAGTAGAAAGGAGCCCAGGTTAAGGGTTGAGGAACCGAGTACTCAACAAACTCAAGATCAAGGACCAAATGTTCCCCTATATTGAGATTCTTGAACAAGGTCCATGCTACGTTTTTCAACGACCTTCACGGACGAAAGTTAAATCCCTCCGGACACTATGATCAACGCTCCATGAGAGCTTTAGGGATTTACGATGATATAAGGTCGCTCCTTGACAACTTAGGGGTGAGTGAGTTTATCAAGCATCAATTCCGAACATATAAGGAGCCCACCTTCGAATTCTTGGCCTCTTTTGAAAAGGAGCCTTATGGGAACGACATCCAAATTTCCTTCCAACTGTTCAACAACCAGCACACTATGACTCTTAGTGATCTTAATGTATTGTTGGATTTGAACCTTGAGGCGGACCTTCTTGGCCCTTCATTGAGCCTATTCCCTGAGTACGATGCATTTAGATGGTGGCAAACGATTATCGATTTTGAAGAGTTCAACACTAGGTATTCTGTGTCCAACCATATTATCCACCCTGTGCTCCGTATTCTACACTGCATTCTGGGGTTTGCGGTGTTTAGCAAGCAGGACTTGAGTAAGCTCTCGCATGAAGAGCTATTTACTTTGTGGGTTGCCACTAGGGAGGAATTGAAAGGGCGGCTCAATATGGGGTACTGGTTCGTCGTGTGCTGCGAGGCAATCAAGTCAGGTCACAAGACAGGATAAATTGCCCTCGATGGGATGATTACAAGGATTGCCAAGAAGCTTAACTATGAACGCTTCTTTTCCTCGTGCACTCAAATTGGGGCCGACAAAGATCTATTCATCGACATACAAAAAATGAGAAGGTCGGGGTTACTCCAAGGAACTTCAGATGCCAACAATTTTCATGCCTGGATGGTTGATCGCGAGAACCATTGTATCTTGCCTTACCCCAGCCGTACATCCTTGGAGCAGAACACAAGGAATGTATGGAAAATTCCGCGAGACAATGGTGTGCTACCCACTGCTCTAGGTAGCGCAAGGAATATAGAAGTCGGCCAACAACAACAACAGCAACAACAACAACAGCAACAGCAGCAGCAACAACAACAACAACAACAACAACAGCAACAACAACAACAACAACAACAGCAACAACAACAACATCATCAGCAACAGCAACAGCATCAAGGCATGAGTAGCCTTGAACAACAAATGATGAGCATGCAACTTGGCATGCAGAGCCTAATGGAGAACCAGCAGGGTATGTTTATGCAAACCCAAGCTCTTTATGGTGCGGCCGTGGATAAGAGTGAGATCACCCCCCCGGTAAATTACCCCTATTGGCCACCCCAACAAGGCCCGATCCCTAGGTGGCGGGGATCACAACCCACTTGGCCCTATTGGCAAGAGCCCTCCTCCCACGGTGTTATCCGGGTACACTACCCGACGGAAACCGGGTACGATTATCGTGCCCCCGGGGGGAGAGATTTTAGGGGTGACCCCAACTATCCATATGTCGACCCTACCCACCCTTCCCCTTTCTAGCTTCCCGCCCCTTTTGACCCGTTGCCTCAATGGCAACAAGACCTCTTCCGAGGTCACTATGGTTGGCCTCCGGGTTACTCCGATGGTTGGGACCCACACGGCATCCCTCTGGACGGTTTCTCTTACGACACCGAGGATGATGGAGATGATGACGAAGCCGACCCTAGTGGCCACTAGCCCCCCTTGTTCTTTATTTCTCCCCTTTGCCCCCTCCTAATGTTTTAATTTGGCGCACCGCGGACGGTGCATTGTTTTAGTGTGGGGGGTGTGTAAGAGGCAAAGGGATGTGTTTTTTTTTTATAGTGTGGGGGAAGGCTTGTCATCATGCTAGTGTGGGGGGGATTTCATTGTAGGTGGTAGAGCTCTCATGGTTCTGTTGGCTTTATCATGTTTTGATGTTGATTTATCTTCTTGATTGCGATGATGATGTCCCTAGGTGATTTTAATAAGTTTTTGCTAATGAATTTTCAAGTGCTTGTGTAGGTGATGGCGCTCCCATGAAGAAAAATCCAAACTCCCGATTGTCCAAACTTCCCTTAATCCAATTTTTTTTTACTTTATTTTATTTTATTTTTATTTCTTCATTTTGTTTAAATTCTTAGTTTCTTTCTTTGATTTCTAACTTTTTAATTTTATTTTTGTTTCATCTGAGTCGTTTCTTTCATTTTGGCTTACTTTTCAAGCTTGGAAATGGAGATAAAGGGAGTTAAGGGGCAAATCGAGCCCCCCTCGGTGAGATTGCATAATTTATCTTGTCTTCATTTCAAGCGGCATTTGGTGAGACCTTTCCTCTCTTTTATTTTCTTTTTTCTTTGGGTATTTAGCTTAGGTTTATCTTAGGAAGAAGTTGAATGGTTCGAGGATGTTTACTTTTGGTTCTATGAAACCTGGGATAGTTGATGTTGTTATCGAACGATCACTTATATGACGATTGGGATTTAATTGAATTATATGCCTCGTATGTGAACCTTTTTTATTTCTTCCTCTTTCTTTTGTTTTGTTTTCCCCTTTTTTTGTTACAAGCATAATTATGATGATTAGAAATGATTTTTGATGTGTAATTTGCTCACTATTTTGGATTGGTTTGCCTCGATGTGTCTTTGAATGCTTATCTTCCTAGTTAATGAGGGTTTACACGGTTTGAGAATGCTTTCGGTTGAGTTACACACATTGTAAGCTAAGGTAGCCCGGTTTAGAACTTTTAAACCCCTAGTTCACGGGAAAATGGTAAGATGGTGTTGCTCTCTATGGTGGATAGGATTCCCTTGGTTAGTATTTGTTATATTTCTTATCCCATGTGAGCGTCATTTGTTCTAGCCTTCATCATTCTTGTGAGCGGCATTTACGATCCTTAACTATGCATGTCTTAATCTTTGTGTTGGCATCTAGCTCCCAAGATCGTGATCATATAACTCTAGAGGAGGAAGAGGGCATTTATTCTCATTTTTATTTGTTTTCTTTGTGTTTTGTTACAAATTTGGTTTTCGTTTTTACATTCACCCTCTTGCTAACCAATTTGAGCCTTATTTCCCCTTTCTTGACTTAGCCATTTTACAAATCTATCGGCCTATGTTCTACCAACCCTTGTAGTTAGTGAAGCATTGGCCTGCGAGGTTCAAGTTTGATAATGTTGAAATTGAGCAAGAAAGTTATGTAATTTGGTTCAAATAAGGTTTTGAAATATTATTCATGAAAAGAGTACGCAAAAAGGTATGCCAAGAAAGTTGAAAGTCATGAAAACCAAGAAAAAAAATGAAAAAGATTGAAGTAATGTGGTGTGGTTTGTTTTGAAAGGTTTTAAGTTTGAGAATAGGTTCAATTCTTAGGATTTTCTTGAGACATGGCTACTCTTACGCTTCACTTAGGAATTGCCACCAAAATTTTCAAATTGTTTCCCAACCATAACCCCTAGCCATGACATTACAACCCTACTTAAGACACTTGGATTCTAGAGGGGCGTGGTCAAAGAACGATGGAGGGAGATAGATTTCAACCTTATGGAGAGAGTATGCATAGTTAAGATGTCGGGATGACCCTATGATCCCACATAAAATTTTCTTTTTCCGGTTCCCTCGAGGAACCATGAGGAGCTAGCTAGGGGATGAATTGAAGCTAGTGGAGAAAACGCGGACCGTCTTGGTTGGGGATAGGGCGGAGAATGAAATCATTAGTTCTCTACGCTTAGCTTAGGTTTGTCTTTTTCAACCTTGAGCATCTTGGAACGTGTTTTCCTCTTTGAATTGAGAAAGATAAGTATTCTTTGGTGCATTTATTTGCAAATGAGTCCAAATTGAGCATTTCATTACCTTGAGGCTTGCTTGGCTTTGCTAAAACCTTGTCATGTTATGTTTGTTGTATTTGTCTTTTTGTTCC